AGGATCCAATTGGGGTGCCACTTGACTTTTGAAGGGATGGATTGTAGACGTTTCACGCCCTATATCGTCCCGAGCGAGTCAAGGGCACCGCATATGCACTGAATCACAATCGTACATAGCCTGGCACTATAATAACTTGCAGCGTTAGGCTTGATCTGGAACCGCTCAAATCATGAAGATAGCACTGGAGATACTTCTCACCCTTGGAGCGGCCTCTTTTCGCTCCCCCACTGGCTCAGGGCGTAGATACGGGCACCCTGAAGCCGACCAGAGCATTGTATATGGACACACTCCTGCCAGCTAACCACTTACTTGTTAATCAGTTATGGTCTCGAACACCACACGCCTGCTGTTGTGCTGTGGTTATTTGGCAGGGAAGAGGAATAATCTGAAACAAATATTAGCGGTGCAGTCGAAAACAGCATTACACTTTGTCCCGCTCTGATAGCCCAGCTCGATCGTCGAAGCCAGAGTGACCCACGGGACGGGAGGAAACTTAGTCTCTCCGTGTAAAGCACTATACGTCGTTGGAGGTGGCGCGCTGGATTGAGCAAGGTATGTGGACCTATTTTCACGACTGTGTTTGTTCTTCCGTTGTTGGGCGAATGTGTGTCGGTTCATCCTCCCCTCCCTCCCCCTCCTCCCGCCTCCCTCCTCCCCCCCCCCCCTTCTCTCTCCGCATAATTATAACCTCATCGAACCACTGGCGATATAATTATAGTTGCCTTGGTTTGAGGAGCAGCGCTTACAACGCACTTCCTAAAGTGTCTGACTCCAGCAAAACCAGCCTTTCCCGCAGAATGTCACGTATTTAAATGATGCAAAGCTAATTACAAAAACAATGTACTATGTTTGCGCATGTACTGGACATACACACACACACACACACGTGCACACACACACACACACACACACACACACACACACACACACACACACACACACACACACATACCCACACACACACACACACACACACACACCCACACACACACACACACACACACACGCACGCACACGTGCATACCCCCCCCCACACACATACACACACACACACATACACACACAAACACACACATACACACACACACACACACACAAACACACACACGCACACATAGCACTCATTCTCTAAATCACGCCCATGCACACGCACATTCTCTCTCTCTCTGTCTCCCACACACACTTACACAATCATGCGCGTGTGTCTGTGAGAGAAAAAGAGAGGATGTGTGTATGTGTGTGTGTGTGTGTGTGTGTGTGTGTGTGTGTGTGTGTGTGCATGTGTGTGTGTGTGTGTGTGTGTGTGTGTGTGTGTGTGTGTGTGTGCATGTGTGTGTGTGTGTGTGTGTGTGTGTGTGTGTGTGAGTGTGTGTGTGTGTGTGTGTAAGAGTGAAAGAATATGTGTGTACTTGGAAGTAATTGGGCTGATTTGGCGCTTAAGTCTACAGCTCTACTAGTATTCTAGTCTGTTTTATTCAAACCGGAATTGTTGCTGCTGCATAGCTCTATGTCTAAAGACTTCTCGGCTGCAGTTGACTCGCTCGCCATAACTCCCCTCAGTATTTCTCACCTTGCTCCCCCTTAGGCGCCGGTCACACATGCAGGCGGCGACACCGCTTTTGCGGCTGCCTCCAACACGCTGGCAGTGGGCGCTTTTGCGGCTCTTTTCTGCCGGCGGTCACACATGCAAAGGCTTTGGTACGCACGCAGCTTCACGGGTCTCCACAGGTGTCGTAAAACTTTTCTCTGAAAAAGACTGTAGCCTCAAAATTCTTCAGGAAGTTACCTGCTTTGTTGCATTTTGACTGAATTGGCTGTTTCATTTTTAATTCCTATCACTGTTGTCTTTCCTTTCCTGCGCTGGTATGGATCGCAGAAACGCCCAGAATCGCCGACTACGTCGTGACCAGCGACTGCGGAGAGCTATGGAGATTGCCTCAATATTCATGTTGTTCAATTTCTCTTCGTTTGAATCTTGCGGAAGCTCCTTGAGCATCGGTGGACGCCTGAGTCGAGTCCCATGTCGGATGGGACTCGACTCAGGTGTCATGGTGTCTTGACCTCGAAATAGAGGGAGAGGAGCAGTTGCTCTTGGTCAGCAGTCCACTTCATGACGAGAGATGAAAAACTTATTTTTCCAAGATCCAAGAGATCCAACAACGACAACGCCGCAAAAGTTGCACTACCACTTTTGTGTTTCGCCACGAATTTTTTGGTTGTGGCGCTTTTGAGATTGCCGCCGTGGCGCAAGTGGCGCCAGGCGCAGTATCCATGGTGATCCGGGGATATCCCAACTTTTGTGGTGCAGCTTTGGTGGTGTCGCAAAAGCGCCATGCATGTGTGACCGGCGCCTTATGGTCAGGCTGCCCGTTTTGGAGTCATCAGTTGCCTGATGATTGCTGTACTACGTGAAACTCAGAGTTGCGACACTGCTTGCAATCTTTCCCTTGTGTAATTCTAATTAAATGAAGTGGAATCAAGTTCACAATACCTGCTTTCATGAATACGAAAAAGGTTGTCCTGAAAGTTGTATAATTCTTATAATGGACCCAGGAATGAGGAGAAAACAGTCTGTTTGTCATACTCCAGGATTATTCCTAAAAACAAGAATTGACATGAAATCTTACCTCGCTAAATTCTTCTTAGTTGTGCTAGCTATTCTTGGTGTTTTCATTTGAAGCGTAGTATTCGAGATGCTTAAAACATTCAATTACGGATCCGGAGTAGTTCTCGCATGGTGCCGTCGCCTATTCACACTCGAAATGCAGCCATTAGTAGAGACTGGACTTCTTCAAGAGACTGAGCTTCTAGTAGAGATAATATGATATGTAGGAATATACAGAGCATTATATGATAAATATTCAAGAAACTCATGAGTCATGGCTTTTTTTGGTGCACCTGCCATGTGAAGATGCCGAGACCTCTGGTCGGTTGAGCATGGCAAGCTCCACCAGCACCATCTCACCCCATGCTAGCCCCACGTGCCTGCCGGTGAGTTGTGTATTTTGTAAAAAAAAAGATGTTGCTGCTCCTGCTGTTGGTGAAATCACCCTGGTCACAACTGCGGTCGTTGTTGGAGACGACGTCCCGAAACTCATCTTGCCGCTGCCTATTTAATTTTCCCTTCCCTTTCTTTTCTTTCATCCCTCTCTCGCACTGTGTCTGAGAACTGAGTATTTGTGGCCATTGGTCACGAGTAGAGTGAAGTAATGCTGACTACATAAAAAAGATAGAAGGACAACATGGAACGATTTATGACTATCTGTCCACCAATGTAACCGGATCATATACATTCAGCGAGTGCGACAAAATGGCAGAAAACAGATTGGGAGTAAAGAGACATTCAACGACCTGACACCTAGCTCCAACACTTCTCCAAGGCATTTTGTCCTTCTTATTTTTTACCAGGATTTAAGTAACTCACCATCCGAGTTCGAATATAATAACAAAATTTAATATCAAACACCCATGATGAAGTTCAGGATGTGAGCATGTAGTTCATTTTCTTCAATTTCGTATCTTTCATTTGGAAGCGGAGCGATTCGAGTCATATTTTTATGCCTCCGTATTCTGGCATTGTTCTCACACTACTGCAGGAAAATCCATAACTATGAATCAGCACTTTGCCCTACTCTTCGTGGTCACAATTGCTGTGGGATGCTCTGAAACTTATGGTATGTTCATGAAACTCTGAGTCACAACGGAATTAATTTGCCAAGGTTTTCATTGTGTGCCTTTGGGTATGTTCTTCTTCTCTGTGCCCGACTTTTGGGTGTTTGCTTGTGATTATGTGTGGTTTTAGGGGGGGGGGGGGGTACCTGTGTGTTTTCCTGTTAAGGCATTTCTTCAATTTGATTTAGTTCCATTTACTTAGATTTTCTTATTTTCTTATTTTTTTATCATTCAACATCTACCTTCACTGATGAGCTATGTATTAGCGAAACAGCTGTCTGAAGGAGTATATCAATATCGTCCACGGAAGTGTCCTCGCAATGGTGACGGTTGTGTGCAGGAGGGCGTAGTCGGCTAAAGAGCGCAGTGTAATGGCGGAGGTGACTCAACATTTTCTTATTTGTTTGTATTCAAGTACTGGTCCGGCCACTGCCACTGAACCTGTGACCCACTGCAGTGAGAGATATGTTGGGAGTGAACTATACAAGGCGCACTACGTTTCTCGCGTACTGCGTACGAAAAAGCCCCTAGCCGTTGTTGTTGTTGTTTTTTACTTTTGTTTATGACAACACCGGCACTTTGTGATGTGTTCCATCAGCTAATGATAATAGAATGAGAAAGAACAGAATGAAAACAAGTGTTCTTACTCCGCGCATCACGAACTAAGTGACCATCAGTGTGTTTCCAGTAAAATGACCCAATTTTGCAGTTTGTTAGTGAACCGGTGGCAGTACCCTACCGTAGTAAAGGGGTTAAATGATAATACTCGTGTTCATTGCATTTCACGCATGTTCTACAACTGAAAAAAAATTGAAAGCGATTTTAAAGGAAGTGTTAGCCGAGGAGCTATGGCAATTAAGACTCAGCAAAGACAAATTTAATGTAGAGTGCCGCGAGAACTCCCCACCATCTCGTCCTCTCGCGGTCATATTGTGGATGTGGTGTCCTGTTTTTAGGTTTGATGGCACGAAGCTTTCACACAAATTGCAACCTGTGCAGTCAATACGTACTCAATTTACCTTCGAGCGTACACGAGCTCCACACAAAAACCTGCTAAGTATGACCTTACGACATTAGTGTTCTAACTCCGCGCAAGCTTTCTTTCACTCTATAGTACGCTTTCCCTCTCCCTGTTTGTAAAACCAAGGTAAGGCGCTCTCGCATTACTTTATGGTACAAGTGATCCAAGATCTATATCAGGGATGGAACAGATCTCCAAAGCACATGTCCCCAAGCAACGGAAGTTTAGTATCAATGGACAGTTGGACAGATTAAATCGCGTGACTGATCAATGTTTTACTTGCTTTCTCCTCTACAGCATCAGAAAAACTAACCTGCCCAGGCTACCAGTTTGTACTCAGTACTGTTAAAGTGGAAAAAGATGATGCTGTATCAGCGTGTAGTCAACATGGAATGAATCTGCTGAGTAAGAAATGGGTCCAGGACATGCAGGACAATACGTGTTTCCAGGTGAGCACCACAACTATCGCTTGTGCTGTCGCAAGTGACCAAGACAAACACAACAGACTGGATTCTAACACAAACTGAAATCATTATAGCATTGCTACAAACGGCTGGGGCCATTGCTAAGCATTGGCAATCACATTTTGCACGTGGAGACAGGTTTGAGCGCCATAGAACCCGAACCTGGTGACGTGTTTAGAAGCGCTTTAGTTTTGCCAAGAGCAGCTCAGTGTATAGAGCAGTCTACAAACTTTCCTTCCTACGTCAATGAGCTTGTTTTTCGATTTGGACAGCATATTACAAGGCAAGGACGCGTAGTGCTCCTGACTACAACCATAACCCGGTTGGCAGAGTCCCGGTCTTGTCAGGAGCACTAAGCGGCCTCGCCTTGTAACATGCTGTCAAAATCAAAAAAAATGTTAAACTACCAAGCAAGGCTTCTGTGTATATGTCAATGAACATCTAATTCCCATAAACAATACCTCACTGGAAAGTTTGTTGACTCGCTTTCAAGAGATACAAAGCTCTTTGGGATAGGATAAAGACTGACTGAGTGATGACAGGTTGAACATGGAAATCGCGTCTCGAGCAATCAATTTATTTCGTAAACCACCTGTTTTGGGGGGGGGGGACACCCATGGATTTCTCTTTCGGCTTGATGGACACCAAACGGCAAGAGCAGAGCAGTTAGTGCAACAGTGGAGTTTGGGGGAAGAGCCCGAAAGTATGATTGACTTGCTATTTTGATGTGTGGTCTGATGGGCCAGTTTGGAGAGGATGTGGAAGTGACTTTCATGTGGCACTTGAGCAGAGAGCTACCAGGAAGCATACGTTTGGTCCCGATCTCCCATACAAGCTCAGTATATTAAGACCAGTCAGGACGAAAAAGCAGAAAGGTCCTTTCACCATACACAGCAATAATAAGGATCGAGTAAGAGACAGGACCAGAGGTTTACAACTTATGCATTTCGTGTCCAGCACAAGCAATACAAGCCTGTTGGGGAACTGGTGAATTGGTGAATTTTTAATTCTTGGCTCTCCATCCTAGTAAGAATAATATATATGCAACGAGTTTAGCAGCAAAGGTGTAGGTTATATTCCCACCTATGTCGTCCTTGCATACTGTAGGAGGCATGTTAGTGCAGAAAGACTCCCAATTGCAAGTGATCTTCTCAGCGATGCAGCCTCTGTGGCCATTGCATTAGAATGATTGTCCAATCCTTTGGTCCATTGAGTCACCGAGGTGTTCATCCTGAAGTCAGTTGAAAAAGTGGTCTTTGCTCTGACATTCGCAAAGGTAAATTAATGAAAATGCTAATATCTTTGGCTTACCGGGATACAGAAATACCTATTTCCAACCAAAGATTCAGGCCCAAAGCGTAGGTATAAATATAATGAAAATAGCTGCCTCTATTTTATGTAAATATACAAATTCCTCATGAAAAAAAAACGACTAAGCCTTGGCATTAAGGGGCTATCCGGCATTATCGATAAATTTCACGAAACGAAAAAGTTTATTTCGCACTCTCCCCCAACCACCCACCCCCTTGAACGAAGAATAGATTGACTTGACAGCGAGAATTCATTGACGTCTCAAATATCAATATCTTTCTGAAAGAAACACCCATTTACCCACCCACCCATATTTTTTCTCTTCGTGTAAGAGAACGATAATTATAGACGGCCCCTTATAGCTGTGCTAATAATAATATTATTCCCATAAACAGTAGAACATCGGTGTTCATTCTGTACTTGTCTTGGCTGGTGAGGGAGTACACTTTACTTGCCTTGGCTGGTGGGGGAATACACTTCACTTTCCTTGCCTGGTAAGGGAATACATCTCCCAGACACCGCACTGTGTGTATAGAGTAGACCTGCTCCACCCTGTGTTGATAGTCGGTGTTACTGTGTCACTTTGCCCTCTACTCATGGCAGGAGGGGATCGCACACTATCGAACTCAAGGCGTCGAGAACATTTGGGTTAAGAAGCAGAAAAAAAACAAGTTCCTGACGTACAATTTCACCACCAAGCAAGTTGGGCGACCACAAAGGCAATCAAACGCCTATATTTGTGGCAGCAAAGGTAACGGTTTTATCCACTGATGCAGCATTCCGCACATTAGGATACCTAAACAATCACCAAGATATGGCAGTGGGGCAGTGAGAGTAACACCAGCCTGTCATGGTAGAGTCATAGGAAGCGAGAGATTTGAAGTCAGAACTTGCTGCAGGCACTCAGTTCAGTTTCAACAAAGTAATTAAGAATTTCGAGTTAAGAAACCAATCCTAGCTGATGTTACTAAGCGAAAATATAAGACTGTACCTATTCAAACCTGATGTCAGATTGGGCTGATGCTGAAGTTAAATTTTTGGGCCCAACTGTCCCGAACCCCCTTGAAAGAAACCAATCCTAGCTGGAGGCTTAGGCTTTGCCGAAATCTGTTTGCGTAAAGTTTTAGCGAAAAACCAAAACGATGTGAAAGTTGCGTAATCTGGTTTATTTGGCAAACATTGACACATTTTGGAGTAATGTGGCACTAACTTAGCCGAATAAAACTAATTGTGCACTCATAGCCATGTATAAAATGAGTACTTGGTCCGCCCAGTTACAATTGGCGCTTATCTTCACACTTCTCTCAGGAAGGAAATACGAATATTTGAAGCAAGCCATGATCACAAAGCACTATATACATGATTATTTACATGTCAGTAAGCAACTCAGTCGAAAATTCAAGCAGGTTACACATCCTCCTCGCTACTATCGTTGCTGGGGGAAGAGCTCAAAAATTCGATCCGGACAGCTGCTGCACGTTTCATAGCTTGTGTCACTTCTCCTCGTCTCGAATCACGCTCCAAGGCAGTGCGTGCCTGTCACCTTGCCGATCAGAAGCTGAGTGAGACTGCCCGCATGTTAGCTGTAAGTGTTAGCCCTTTTGTCGCAATAATGCGACTTTGTTTTAGACAAAAAGCAACACCATATCAGTGTCCTTTTTTGTTCAAATCGCCTCTTGCGCTTGTCGCACTTGCTGATCTGCACCCAAGCGAGCCGTTGGTGCTTGTAGATGCAGCGCAGTGATAGCTTCCGCTTGATGCTACTTCTTCTTCGAGTTAGCTTTGTCGTTGCTATATAATCTCTCAAAACAGAAATGCGCAGCAGCTTTTATGCAGCAGACGCCATACGCTTACATACGGAGATACACTAAAATATACATCAGGTAAAGTGTCCGTATTACTTCCGTATTAGCCAGGCAGGGATAATACAGCAGCACCGGTCACCTGTGCGTCTGGATCTAATTCCTAACACCGTGCACCAGGCTTTTCGGCTAGTTTCCTGAAAGTGCTTTGGACGAGTGTTTCCCTAAGGACTTGGTGTTATCTTCGATAAGCTCCTTTGCCCTGTCCTCTGTGAGCTCCAAAGTGTGTCCGCCGGATTGGCCTCACTTACTGGAGATGTCGACATGAGCTGCAGTTTCTTCGTCAGCGATTTGCTAGTGATAGCCTTTAACTAGGCGCTGTGCTGTGCAAGCACTCAAATTCAAGCTCGCAAAGCGCTTTTTCGGCTTTTCTATACCTCCCCGGGGTAAACAATCCTTGCCATCAGACAGCTGGACGTAGACAGAAACTGTATTGTCCATCGCTCTGAAATGCCAACATCCTGACCAATTTTACGGACTCGAGCAGAGGTTGCAGTGTTTTATTGCGCTGACGGAAGTGTTCGTCGGCGGCAGCTCCATCGAAAAGACTCAAACGAACCGATCACAACTTCTGTGATGGTTTTTGCTACCATGTCGTCGGATGCAATGGTCAATGGTTATGTTCGAATGGTGAATCGGTCGTTCCATGCCGTGTGACACAGGCAGAACACCGAAAAACCAAGTGACGAGATAAGCGCCAATTTTAACTCGGCGGACCAAGTACTAAAATGAAAATTTGCCAGAATGTTTTCTCGTGACTATGATCAGTGGAACGTCGTCACATAGTAAGAATCACTAAAACAACCAGTTATACAGCTAGAATAATTTGACAAGGATGGTGAGAATGTAGCAGCCCTCGGTATAATTATATGCACGTGTAGTGGTAACATATGCTGTGAATCTTGTCTAATTATTCAAAATTTAGGGGAGCATGTCTGAGAATATCAGACAATGTGGGCCAAGTCGACCCCTCTGATTTCGCCCACATTTTGCAGGTAGGCTTCCTTTGCGGTGTAGATCGACTGTGCAAAGCCCTTGAAAAATATTCTGAAGGGAACCTTGAAATTATGTTCAAAAATGGTCGAACAATCATATGAATAATGGGTCTCCAAACGAGCTGCACCACAACACACATGAACAAGCGACTAATGAAATGCATTCAAGCCAATATTTGCCTCACATTAGAAGAGTTACTGGAGCAACCTTTTTTGCCTTTGCCATGCTCTAAGTAAAAGGTTTTGAAGCTATGGATTCTGGGGTAACATGTCGTTGTTCACTTTTAATAATGTCGCCAATCCAATTTTTACTTGCTTTCTCCTCTGCAGCGCCCAAAGAACAAATTTGTCCAGGCTTCAAGTTGGTCATCAGTACTGACATGGTGACCAAGGATACCGCTAAATCAGCGTGTATACAACATGGAATGAATCTGCTTTTAAAAAATTGGGCCCTGGAAATGCAGAAGGATGCGTGTTTCCAGGTAAGCACAGCGATCCATTTTGGCATGTGAACTGGCAAAGGCATACAGACATCGCTGACCTGGTGCTAACGCTGGTAGAACAATTCCATTGCCACAAAAACCTGGCCTTGGCAAAATCCAGACCCGGTACCATCTGGGATGATTTACTTTTGTAAAAAAAATGTAAATTATCGTATCCGTTCCCGAAGGGAACTCATGACGGCCGCTAACACCCGATAAACCCTAGCGGCAGATGCAGCGCCTAACGGTGGGGTGAGTGGGTAAGTCTCACAACCAATGGCACAAGTGCCGAAAACGACCCCATTAGCTGCGTCCATGTACCCCTTGTGCCTGGCCACAAGTTCCCAGTTGACTGTGGGTAGCAGCACGGCTGGAGAAACCGCTCCCACCACTTTACTTTTGTAGAAACAATGAATACCCATGCAACCGTGCAAGCAATCTGACCATACAGCATCCACTAACACAATGACTTTGTTAACAAATCTGTCCAGCTGAATAAGATCCTGTAGGACCCATCATGCAGCTTCATAAGTAAATTTTGGCTCATGAGCAACACTGGCTCACACTTGAGTTGAATTTTTCTGGAATGAATTTTCGAAAAGCCGTGATTGAGCGTGAGCCAGTGTTGCTCACAAGCCAAATTTTAGGGACCATCGCAAAAGTTCGCAGAAGCTCCTGAAACGAAGAGCATACGTTTGGGGGGGGGGGGAGGGAGTTGGTGTCGAAAATCGCAAACCGGGCTTCAATTCAAAAAAGGTATTGACGACATGTAGAAGCTGATATAGATTAGCATGCCATCACAGCCGGCGTAGATCGCTTGTCACAACGCGTAGTCCATTCATGCAACTGCTCGTGTCGCGTAGCTGGCTGCCTGTACACTGTGTGTAGTCTAGTACCACGAGTCCATAAAACGCGTGGTTAATGGACTCTTGCTAGTACTAGTACCGTAAAGTACCATTGATCCGCCCCCTCTCTAATTCCCGCCCCTTTCGATTTTCTCCTTGTGAAGCGACTTCGGCGTATACAACGAAATACGATGTTGAACCGACGCATGCACTGCTGTACACAATACTTGCCAATCCAGGATCAAAATGTGCACAATCCAGCACATTGAGTCTGATCCTCTACGTTGTTGTACATCGTACTGCACTTGACAGCCTTGATCTAATTCCCGCCCCCTGCCGAAAACCCAGCTGGGAAGCGACATGGCGTGGGGGCGGATCAACGGTACTTTACGGTACTTGCAGGGGTTCATAGGGTTTATGAACCCCTGGTGTGTAGTATATTATAATAATTATTATGTGTGAGCATCCAAGTGAAATAATGAAGCCCATATTGTGACTGTCGTTTCGTTTGAGGGGAGAGGGAGGGGGGTCAGGCCCGAAACTAACGGTCTTCGTTTCGGGGGCTTCTGCGAACTTTTGCGATGGTCCCTTAGTTGAATAAGGTTGCATAAGAATGAAGGGGAATACCTAGAGCCATGCAAGAGCTACACACTACTGAAATTAGACTCCTTTTTTTACGAGCTTTTCCAATTCCCTAACTAGTAAGCGATCTTTAACATGACCAGCAATACAACAATTAGATAGTTAGATTTTTTACTCTTTTCAAATGTGTGATTTTTGGGCGCAATTCAATGAGGAGCTTTCTACCAATAATACTCTGTTGCATCCATTGATGTACGCTCTGTAGCTAGTCAACCTCAGTGGCTGTTTGGAGCAGAAACACTGAAATTCACTGGTTACTGGACGTACTCGATTCCTCAGGCTTGGCGCCTGACTCTCGTTTTAGTTGTTGTGGCCGGAATGGATGCAGCTCTGTGCCTCTTCATGGGCGTTGTCTGCGCTGTATTGATAGTCTGTGATACTTTGTCACTTTGTCTCTACTCATGGCAGGAGGGGATCGCACACTATCAAACTGAAAACATCGAGAACATTTGGGTTAAGAAGCAGAATAAAAACAAGATCCTAGAGTACAATACTCGCAGGAACACGATTAGTTCTACACAATCCAGTTCCAACACCTATATCTGTGCCAGTAAAAGTAAGTGCTTTGTCCCAACAACTGTATCCAACTAATTGTTATTAGCTATAAAAACCCTGCAGTCGCCACACAAGTGGTTATTGGTTACCCCAGCCATGTAGTGCTTGGAGTGAGATAAATAATTCGATAACCGCAATCAATAAGCTGAATCGACATTTGTGTATACGCTATTCATGCAATGTAAAACGGTGGAGACACTGTGCAATTAAACTATGAGAATAGGAAGAAATAGTGTAGATGTAGAAAGGAATAGGACATAATTATGGATACGAGTTAGGAGTAACTATCCATCACTGTAACCAGATACTATATACAGTCAGAAGGTTCTTGCACTTTCTGACCGTATAATTATAGTACAGTCGTCCCTCTCTAATCCGGCTCTTGTTTATCCGGAACCCTTGCCAACCGGCGCACTTTCTGACGAAACCGATCTTTTCGTTCGATTCCTACATCTTAATCCGGCACTTGAATTCCGCCTCCGGCAGTGACTTTTTGAAACGAATCGCTTAAACTGCACGTAGTTTGATTTCATAATCCGGCGGTCTGGTCAGTGCCGTGGTCAGTTCAGAGTTCAGTTCAGTTGACTTGAGTTGCGGTGCCACAATCACTGCTGCAGACCTGACTGCTATATTTTCACAATTCGCTGACAGCAAGGAGTAGTGTGCTGCCAATTTTCAGGTGTGTGTGTGTGTGTGTGTGCAAGAGTACATGAGCACATGTTCTCTGTTTTACTTTATCACTTTATCACCGTGTATATTCCTGGAGAACAGTTGAGAATGTAAAGCCGTGCACCAAATACTTGGGTTGACACGGAAAAACCCTGCGTTTTGACGTATGATAAAAGCATGCAATTGGGTAGGGCCGGGTCAGAGGGCAGGATTTCTTAATCCAGCACCCTCGTTAATCCAGCAGAAAACGCCGTAGCAAAAGGTGCCGGATTAGAGGGACGACTGTATCTGGTTACAGTGATGGATAGTTCCCTTTAACTCGTATCCATGTCGCATTTTTCCGGTTCTTAAGTCGACCTTTTACGACTAAAAATAGAAGGAGAAAGGGTGTGGGTCGACTTACAACCGGGATTCGACTTATAACCGGGAACTATCAGTATCTTACAAAAATATACCGGCACTGCATGCACGAGTGCATCATGTGTACACATTTTTGCCTGTTTATTGGCCTTTTTTCAAGGTTTGGGACGTTATACCCTCCAATAAGAAATGTTTACATGATCTGTTGATGTGTTAGTAGCAGGGAGTGGTTAGCAGTGCTTTGTTCGGTGAAAACTTTCAAAACCAGAAATGAGACCTCCGGATACGGGGGGTCGACCTATAACCGGGGTCGACTTACAACCGGTGAAATACGGTATGTCCTTTTCCTTTCTACATTAGTATTGGCTCAGCATCCGAGTTTCAAATAGTGTAGAGATTAAATAGGATTCAAGCAGGTTTTCGTACAACTCTCACCAGGAATCGTCTTTGTACTAACGGAATAAATAAACGAGAGAGCTTGGAAGCTCAGGCCCCTACGCTATGCTTTTTTGCTTTGATGACCTAGACAAAAAAGCATAGAGATGTTATTTTATTCTTATAAATTCGAACCCGTACTATCGCCCTGCATGCATCCCCCGATACACTTCGCATACATACTAATTCTTCCAAGTTGCTTCACGTTATGATCTTGCATTAAAAAATTTGAAAGCCCTATTTAAATATGCATTGCGGCCAGCCATCTTTGATGGAACGGTACGGGACAGGTACGGGACAGGTACGGTCGAGAGTAATACGACACAGTCTACCGCCTTGATGACCCAGGCAAAAAGAGCATAAGGATGTTATACATTTTTCAAGTCTCCTATTTTTTCAGGCATCTCCCAACGCATATGGCCGATTGGTTTGCAGGCCTGCCTGCGAATCATGAGGTCCCGAGTTCAAGACCCGCGCTGGTAGCAGGGAGCGTGTAAAAAGACTTTTTACGCGTGCTGAACTGCGCCGACACCCACGGTCAACTGGGTACACACAGCTCGGAGTGAGAATAACAAGGATGCAGTTTACAGGGTTATGGGCCGTTACACGCCCGATTGGTTGAGAGACTAACCTCCTCTCCCCTGACTCACTTGTGAGGTCTGCATTCGCCACTAAGGTTAATAGGCATAGTGGTGGCCTGCGGATGCGAAGGCTAGTTTGTGTGTTTCTGAACATTCAAGCGATGCCGACGCGGATCCCGCGAATATTATTATTATTATAACCTGGGATTCGAACCCGCACTATCGCCCTACATGCATTCCCCCATACACTTCGCATTCATACTCTTTCTTCCAAGATGCTTCACGTTATGATCTTGCGTTTGAAAGACCTATTTGAATATTTAGGCCAGCTGTAGGTGGCCAGCTGTGTTTGATGGTACGGTATGGAACAGATATGGGATAGCGCCAGGCATGACAGAAACACACAACCAAACAAACAGACACCAATTTAAAGCTGTGTGGACCCTGGCTAGCACCAGACGTTATTGAAGTAACGTCTTCTGCATGGCTACGGGAATAAAATAGAGAATCCCCCCCCCCCCTCTAGTAAAAAAGAATTCTCTTCTGTGGTAATTAGGGATGCATGGTTCTGTCTTAATACCTGCAAACACGACCTGCAACAAAATCTCCCGTGTCCGTAAGTTCAGGCCGTACGGCACAAAGCTCATATAAGACACAGACAACTCTCTACTTGTTGCAAAATCACTTTCCGCTTTCACCGGTACATGTAATCCATTTGTTTGGATTAGTTTCCTAAGGCAGCACATACCTTCAACGGAAATGCAGTCCACATCTAATAGAGTGTGCAAGCAGTGCTTTCCGTTGTTGAACACAACTCTATACTTCAGGGTTGTAATCGGTGGTGACTTAGAAATGAAAAAAAAAGAGATCGGACTGGATCGTTCTACGCCCACTGAATTCGCCAGGAACAGAAGTAGGTGCAGTGCGAGAACGCTTGAAGCTGTGTGTACGGAGTGTAGTGCATAATAGGCTTGGAGTTGATTGTACCACAACCACTGAACTGAAGGTGCGATACAGGACCATGATAAGCTATGCGTACGGAGTACGGGGTAAAATCTGTAATCCCACGGACAAGGCGGGGGGGGGGGGGGCATGTGAGATCTCGGTTGCAAGGCATATGTCCGCAGGTGTGGTGAATTAAAATATCCATTGCAAGGTAGGAGCTCAGCAGTACAACCGTATTTAAACACATATTCCTGTATGTGTACGGTGTATTCGCTCTTGTTTAACTCCTTTTCGTTCCACACACGTTCCAATATATTGTCTAGTTCATTGACGACTTGCTTGTGCATGCTCGCCGTGTTGTGTTCATCCATTGTACAGTTACTACTTGCCCCGTGCCATCGATTGTCAACGGAGCAAGCCAACGTGACATGGTCGTCTTCCCCGGCTCTGCCCAGTACTCTTGCTCACCTGGTTACTTGCTGGCGGGTGACGCTAGGCCAAAATGCACTCACGACGGCCAGCTGAGTTCAGTACCATCCTGCACTAGTAAGCATGATGTGTATACATGTACAGGTGAAAGCAGACAGTGATTTTCTGCAACAAGTAGAGGTTGGTTTGTGTTGGTCACATGGACTTACATGTTGTGCCGTATGGCCCGAAATTGCACAGGCGGGTGATTTGTTTTGCAGATCGTGGTTGCAGGCATGGAGACAGAAGTATTTCCCCGATATAAGTCGCACCCTTTTACACTCAACTTCAGGACCAGCCAAGGGGGAGTGACCTACAATCGAGCATGATCACGACTGAAGTGAGTATATCGAAAAGATGAGTCAAATGACATAGACCTCGAAATAGGAGCGCGACTTACAATGGTTGAAATACGGTACGTCTGAAGAAAGGGTTGAACGGTCGCTGCTCGGATGATAGCTACGCCATAGCTCAGTGACCAGATAATCGCTGGCCTCAAGCGAAGATCCCTGGTTCGATTCCTGGTGGTATCAGTCAATACTTTCTTCCAACTTTTTTTCCTCGCCCATTCCCTCCACATACGGATAGGAGGGGAAAAAGTACATCGTTTTTCTCTGATCGCAATGTACAATGTATGCCTGCATCCTTTCTCTAACTTTGTCGAAAATAACATCTCTTGCGTATTATTTAATTGAATTGACCTCATCCACCATCTACAGCAGTTTTCTCGGGGGACTGAGCATCATTTGAATTTCAGGAAAACCAAAAAGTGCGGTTAAACTACGTTGACCAGAGCAAGATACGGAACGAGGGGTTACAGCCGAGAATACAGAAGCAGCACAATCAACCCAAATGTGTCCACTCACGGACCCAAGCAAACTTGTTATGTACATGTATGGCCGGCAAACTAAGGACCGATAACTTGCTTAGTACTGTGAGAATTTAAAGAATTTTTGGGGGGTTGGAGAGGCATGTGTTTTCTACCCGACCTGCTAAAATACCCTGGTGAAGGTTGACTAAGAAAGCAGCAACATTATTATTATTGCCCCAGATTGATTACTGCAGTTCTTCGTGCCAACATATGTCCAAGCACAGAGCTCTGCTCTTGACTGCTCCCACATCGTTATCACATTTTACAATCAGGCCACAACATAATATTATGTCGATCTAAATCTTCCTTTGGATCGCAAATTTGAAACTGTTGTCGGCTCATCGATTAATTACAATACTTTCTTTGTTATGTGTACCACGCATGGTCTAATAAAGGACTTTGCTTAACCCTTTCAACGCTAAGGACGTATATTTACATCCTTGAGAATGAAGCCCGACCACTAAGGATGTATATTGGCTTGTCCACCATCTCTGGTTCTGTTTCAGGGGTAGAATTCTGCAACGACACACACATATATCTCTACCGACCTACCAATGAAAAAATGGACTATTTCAGTGCAGAGCGCGCATGCGCTGAGCAAGGAGCGGAGTTGCCGGGCGATAAGGCAGTCCGAAGTTGCAAAAACAAGAAAATGCTCACCTCTGAGGGCACTGTGTGGCTGGCGGGAGGCAAATACAAATTTTGGGACGCTTGTTCCTCTGTTCAAGCCTGCACCCAGAAGAACAACCAACCCGCTCACGTTCTGTGTCAAGTCAAGGGTAAGAATTGTATATTATTATTTTTACTTGGGCATTCCCAACAGACCCTAAGGTCTTTTGACAGGGTGTCCAAGAGGAAAGAATTGGGAATAGGATTGGTGCGGATGTATTCGGGAATCACATTAAAGCTTTCAATACCAAGGAATGAAAGAGATTTGTATCCGGCTTGATTTTTAACAATGGGTAAAGAAAGAGAATTACTAGCGACCTTTAGCAATGCTAAAGTTTGAACTTTTGGTGAGGATGAAATTTCACGAAACTTTAATTCGAAAAAGGAAACCTTGTGAGGTTTAACAATGCGAAATGAATTTTTCTTGAAGTTATTTGAATTCTTTAGTGTCATACCGTATAGGCAGCTCAGTCTCACGCCGGGGGCTGTAAATTTACTTCTCCCGGCCATCAAGTGCGTACCGAGGAACGAGTATTGGATTTTCCGTGAAACAGACCTGTCCCAAATATACAGCTTAAACTACACTCAAGCTCCCTCCTTTACCGATGACGTCACCCATGTGGAATGAGTGGAGTATGTTGTCGCCCTGAGACGCATATAAAAGAAAAAACCAAGAACTACTAATACCATCAATTACTAAGCAATCAGGTCGTGCGATAACATTTCATGACACGGACGGTACTGGCATTCTACAAGCAACTGGCTAACACCTCTGGCACATCTTGGATGCATACTCCAACAAAGTACCAACTTAGAAGGTTCTAAAGTTATATAATGACATGGAGGGGAAGGTGAGCGCAACTTAGACAGCTACGAGCTGAGAGTCTCAGCTGTGCAGGACGTTGGTAGCTGTGCGTGCATGTTATTGATGATACTGGCAAAACCATTGGACAATACGTTTAAGCCACTATGTACGGACGCAAAGCAACATTCCACACAACTTGTGTAGCTCAAAGATGCGAAGATCAATTAAAGGGCTAGAGTTGTTAGCCAGTTAGTTGTACAATGTCAGTGCCATGAGTCAGTGTTGTGCAATATCATAGCATGAGCCGACTGTTTAGTAACTGGCGGGGTCCGTGGACAATATAGCATGACTTGTAGTTCCTTGGTCCTTTTTCTTTTCTGCTCCATTCATTTTTTTCTAATTAGCAAGATACTGGACAAGATTTGAGACTCACCACCTTTTGGACCTACTTCTCTTTGCCTGAGGTCAAATCTTGCCCAAATAATTCTTGCAAATGTTACTCAAACTGCGGACAGAACTGTTTCGTCCTTTGTGGACTCATCAGCGCAGCGCCGAGAACACGAGGCCGAACCTGCTGGCAATGAAAACTAAATTTTCCAAAGCCAGATTTAAGCCAGACCCGAACGTGCCATGCCAGAGTGCTCAAATGTTTATAATTTTGCAAGTTATGGCCTAGAGAACCTGGGGACAATACTTGAATGATTCTATCATATCAGTGCACCCAAATCCTTTCGCCCAATCCTGTTTGAAAAGCAATGCCTTCTGCTGAACCCCTGGCAAAAGTTTCATTTCAAATACCTATTTTTTAATTTTTTTATTTTTACTGAATACCACAGAACCACCAGATGCTGCACAGCACGTGGGCGGTGGCATATTGGATGGAACCTATGCCTGAAGATAGACCTAAGTGAAAACAATATGCAATTTGTTATGGTTATGGAAAGGAAAAGTAATAACGTTGGGCCCTATAAATTATGAATTTTATGGAACGCTCGTTTTTATGCGCTAAGTTTCAATTGTCACATTTCTAAGCCGATGAATTGCAATGATATTCCCTAATGCGAATGCCCCATCTTTTTCTTTTCCAAATTTGCAGTACAATTGTTTTGTCAGTCTTCCACCACGTATCTGACGGCCGTCGGACCTCTTATCGAGTCCGAACGAAATGATCATCATAAACGGAGCTTATGCAGCAGCACGAAAGGACAGGAATGGGTAGGCGACTCCACCCATCTTGAGAATCCTGACTTTCAAGGCTGCATCCGACAATTGACTGCCCTGGCAAGCAGGGTTCCCGGCCTAATCGATCTTGTCATCTGTACAACCACTAGTAAGTACGAAGACAGCCTTTCTAAGTTCTCACGAACACCATTGCATTTACAGTGCAACCTGTCTAAGACAACCGCTCATGGGACTTTCAAAACGGGGTGGAGGGTGGTGCTTGTGGGGATAGGGTGGTGATGGTGCAGAGGGGTGGTGACGGTGGGGTTGGGGGTGGGCAGGGTGGCTGGAGAGGGTGGTGATGGGGCGTGGGTTGGGGAATAACGGGGGGGGGGGGGGGGGGTGATGGTAGTGAATCAATTGATGCAGGGGAGGGGGGGGGGGAGCGCCAGAGTGGGCTTACTGAAGCTGTGGAGTTGAATCGAAGAACTTGATTTTGAAGAGAAACCCAACCCTCTGACTCTACTGGCTTCCTATCATTTTGACTGTCTATCCACGCAGATCAGTGGCAAATTGATCCAATGAACAGACTGGTAGCATTCTGGGCTGGTCCGCAGAACTACGAGCAGGCACGGTCAACGTGCCTAGAACACCGCATGATTTTGCCAGGCATTTCACAAGGCGCGTCCTTAATGAAGTTTGTTTCTCAATCGCTCAACGGCAATCACGCATGGATTGAAGGTCTACCAAGTCGTTTGAGGTTGGGAACAGATATGATGCCACACGATCCACGTAGTACCACATTCAACACTACAATCTGTACTATGGGTGAGTAATGTCTGTGCTGTGTAAAGTCACCTGTGGCAAGCTTGCAGTATATTCTCTATCATGAGTGCTGTGCTTGTATTTCTTCAACACCCCTCTATCCCGTGCTTATGTTGGAGACTGTGCTTATATTTTTTCAACAATACGTCCAGACAGCAAAAAGAAGGAACTGCTAGATGCCAGGCATGCAACAGTGATTTCCTTTTACTTTGCTGCATCACATCTCCATGAAACTTTATGTATTCCTCAACAACACAAAAACCAAGATAAATAAATAGTCTCGTATAGAGGGTCATGATTGATTTCACGTTTATTACGGAAAATGCGGGCAGGGCCCAAATGGACCCCAGTACCATAGAACACAGGGAAGTGCAACAATTGCAATAGTTTTGGTATTTATCTCGATGGTCACCGAATACATGGATGATATCCACTGAAGTATGAGGCCCTACAAGAAAATGTTCTTCTACAGCCATAATCCCTCATTCCATGTTGACTTTGTTCCTACGTTCCCAGTATATTGGGGTCCTTTTTGGCCCCCAGGAACGTTTTGGTTGGTATTCTTGCAAACTTGCAAATACTCCCAAAAAACTTCAGAGCTGTCAACAGATGCAGTTTGGTCAAAGCATTGGTCTATGGGAAGGTAACACAGCAAAAAAATACATAAAATGGAGAGTTTGCAAGAATACCACCCTATATGTTCCTGGGGTACAAAAGGACCCCAATATTCTTATTCTTATTGCTTCATCCCATAGCTCAAAACGACAACATCCAATGAGAGGGGAGAGGGTGATAGCCAACCACGGCGAAGAACAAAAAAATCAAATACTGGTGTACAGTTGACAGGAAAAAGAAGAAGAAAATGAAGACCGGAAACATGAGAGAGCATATACTGGGAACATAGGAAAAAAGTAAACATGGAATGAGGGTTAACAGCCAATAAAGGGTTAAGGTAGCTCAAACCTTTACTCTCCACTATCATCATAATATTATACTGATGAGATCTAGACGCGCAACAATAAATCTGTCAACTGAAGTGTCCTTGCTGTGCTGATGTGTTCATGCTTCGCGCATTAGTTCGGCTGAGTGTGCATGGTGGTGATGGGTTAAGAAGGTAGTAGATGTAGGGAAAGAGTCCCAAACAAATGGTATCTCATGCTCTCCTACTCTTCTGCAACGAATCGTTTTTAAGCACGGCCATATTCAGGATTGACGGGAATGTTTTGTGACATGACTGGACGCACACCATTCTTCAGCATGATCGCACATGTCCAGACAGCTACAAGTTTTGCTGTCAAGTGTGTATCCTTCCGAATGAACTGTCAATCAACCGTGTCTAATGCACTTCAGATCTGTGTACAAAACCGTCAATCACACAATAAAAGAAGAGAAAATCAACTGTGAAACTCGAATGTTGTCCATGTATCTCTCATTCTCCAGACTCGAACTCAAATGTAGAGCCAGTAAAGAAAAATTATACTGTAAGCTGAAAAATGTTCGGCTCATTCAAATGTCCGCCTCCCAGCGCTAAAGCCCATTTCAGCCGAATCAAGTTTTCGGCCTGTACTTCTGCCGTCTGTATAATACTGTCACACTGAGCTGTGCAGAGCAAACATTCGGCCGCAACAAGCGTGAACAAGCGAAAAGCACGAGGCTATGAAGGGCCTGGGTAGCTACGACGAGACTGCGGATGTAGCTAACCACGCCAAAAGAATAATAAGGCAGTGCGGGAACGTGCGGGGAGAGTGCAACAGGAGCAAGAAGTTGCACACTATTAAAGTATCGAGAAGCGGGAAAGGGTGCATGCAGTAATGTGTGTATGAGTGCTTGTGTACTTGTACCTGCACAGAAGGGAGATAGGTTATTGGTGTGTGGGTGTATGCATATATGGAATCGAGAAGCTGACATTTGAAATGTGTTCTATCTGGTCGTGTGCATTGTCTGTCATGCCTTCATTTTTTAGTTGCGCAATTCTGCAATGGCACTGGATCATATTTCTACATTGCTACCGCTCGACGAATGAACTTTACTGCTGCGCAGAAAGGATGCCAATCCCAAGGAGCGACATTGGCAAAGAGTTGGGAACTTAGTGCAAAGTGCCCTAGTGTTTTAACTTCCTTGAAAAAGAGCGCAATGGTATCTGAGAGTCCGTCTTCTGATATTACCGTCTTGTGTGAAGTGAAACGTAAGTCATTGACCAAGTTAACCAAAACACCTACAAAGTACTTTCCAGTCTGTCACATGACCAGCGATGACAGCCACGGTGATTCCAGCTCGACACAAACCCTGCATCTATGGGTCACATGTTGTTGGCCGTGCTGATTCCACTGTCCACACGACATGATAACGTTACGCACAACTTCACATGCCCGATTAGTGAAACCACTCTATGGGATGGTATCGGTACTTGAAAACCTGGCAAGCCCAACAATGGAGCCAGGAAGGTTTTTTCTTGTCCCTGAAACGAACATCGTTCCTTTCGTACTCGGATCCATCCCCTCCCTCTGAAATAAACGCAGCTTGCTATGCTACAGAACGAAAATCTCATCCATGTACCTGCCCTATGTACAGTGTGGGCTAGCAAAGAGTTTTTGCTCGGACTCCTCCATCCCGAATGGACCGATCAGGGGATTAAATCCGAGTAAATGAAAGTACGTGGACAAAACGTGTAGAACAACGCTGTAGAGATCATCAGATACAAAACGTGTAGAACAACGCTGTAGAGATCATGAGATTTTATTTTATAAGTGAACTTCAAGCACAGGTATTCAAAATTCAATATATTTTCGCGTCCGGTCATCAGTGGGCAAATAATAGATCCGAAGGTACCCTACCCCCCGCCCCTTAAGTGGGATCATTTCCACATCCACCCCGAGTTTGCGGTTAATGTTCTTTTCGCGTATCTTACCCTTAGTTCCGTTATTTTTCCCCTGATTAGCGTAACACGAAAGCTGAGATCTTGGAGTAGGCTATAAACCTACACCATTGTCATGTTGCTAGGCCAGGTCTGCATTGATTGTACTCTGATTTGCTCCGATTTGATGGCTTTCTCCAACCCGACTGGTCAGGGGATCAATAGATGACTATAACAATGGAACACTGTAAACAGGCTAAAGTTCACTGTGTGTTGATTTTCACGATTTTCGCAAGAGGAGCATAACACGAATATTGCTCATTGCGTATTCAAACTTCTACAGTGGGTGTACTTGCTCCGTGTCATCGACATTGTCGCAGTTCGACTAGTGAATTGTCACTTGTTACCGACAACTCCATGAGATCAACCAGACAAAAATTATTACCGAGGATGATAGTCTGAATTCTAGTGTAACGTACCAGGACAGTTGGACTGAGAGTTTCACACCCAGACGAAGGCCTCGTCGTCGCTGACGTCAAATGACGAAAAAGTATCGTTCCGCAAATTTTCCAGGAAGGTTGTAAGTTGGTCGCGCCTCATCTCAACCGCTTTGACTTTCTCCACAGGACAAGAGCTTCTATGCTTGTCGTTTGCTAGCTTTGTATGATTTCTATTCACCACCAACGCAGTAAGAATACACGATCGTTGCGAGGTCTGTTGATTACCGTCGGCGGAATCACCTCGATCTTGAAATGAACTCTTTTTAGCCGTGGGATGCACATTCATTTTAGCTGTGTTGTCACTGCTCATGCAGGTAAATGTACTATCATGTCGAGCGCGCACTCTTTTTCAGCATCACTGGCACAGTACCTGCACGTGCATCACTATCACTACAGTCTCAGTACAGTGTACATGCAGACTCTACAAAGCCCTTGCAGGTACTGAGTTTCTCAGCATTCCTTGCATGAATGCAAGAGCGCTCTTGCTTGCATTAGTTTGCACACCCCTCAGTGTTCCTCGAAGCACTGCCGCTTGTTCCACAAAGCCATTCTCACCCCAGCTCAGGTAAAACAGTGATGGATTTTCGAGTGAATGGCTAAAATCGCGAGGAATGTGCAGGCTGCAATGGCTGACTGATCTCAGCGAGTTGAAAGTACCATCGCAGCGATATCAGCGAAGAAATTGCGTCTAGTTCAAAATGTTCAGCTTCCAAAAACAGAAAATATAACTTCGCCGTCACCCTATACTGATGACTATCGTCTATGTCCGATTCCTTACCTGTGGTAGGACTGCTGGTGAGTATTTACCCCGTTTTATATCAAAAGTCAAACTGTGACAATTTCGATGACGCGGGGGAAGTATGTGAGTGGCCACAGTATTCTGTGAATAGTTTCCATCGTAAACTCGCTTGTTCTCAGAAATATCAATATTTTAGTACTGCAAGTATTGAGTAGTTTACAGGATTCATTTTAATCAGAACAGCATAGTAAAAGCATAGTTTTGGGCTGGGTTTGAGTTTTTCTGTTGTTGCTTTTTTGACATCTTCCAGCTGAAGTGGAATGTACCACCGCCCATTCAAACCTTCACGAAACCCTCATGCTTGTGGGTTATCTAACACATTCAGACCGGAGAGCTAGTGAAAGGAGGGAGTTATGCAAACAGCAGCATGCACAGTGGGCAGGATATTATCACGACGCTTTGACCTCCAGAAGTCAATGCTCTGGAAATATCGATACCATCGCGAAGAGGATTCCTGGCATGGTAGATGGTTTCCAACGCGTATACTGTAAACGTTCTAGTAAGTACACTTTAGGGTGAAAAGGGAGAAGGACAATGTTACGAGTTGTGACCAATTATCCACCAACGTAACCAGATCTTATACAGTCAGCGAATTCTGTTTCACATGACTATACTTGGTTCAGCATCCGAGTTGAATTAATTACACTTTCTTCAACATTCCACGGCAAAATCTGGACATGACAGCAATAAACAATGCAATAACAGACAATCGTGGTGTTGGACCTGGTTTTGGCAGTGGTTGCTGTGATTGCTTCACAAAATCAATACTCGAAAGAAATCGTTTACGAAGAGCACATGTTGATTGAAAAGGCGACATGTAGGCACGAATCGTAGTAAGGCTAGTGAAAAATGCATGAATGTCGTCCTGCCTAGGCACCAGAACAACACAACTTCCTCGATTTAAACATTGTTTTTGTGTGACTTTCATCTGAAATCACTGCCACAATGTGACATGGACCACCGAAAACTATTGAAAAATATGCAGAGTTGAATGCTATGTCTAAAGAAACAAAGGCAGGGAGCAATTGCAGTAAAATAGCACAAAAGCAACTGCTGCGAACTCAGAGCAGGCCGCGTAAAATATGCAACGTGTGATACCCTCGTGCATGTGTGCTAGCGCTGCTACTATTCCTCTTGCAGTAAAATTCAAAAACTGCAGGCAAGATTTCAGACAATTTCCGATGCCCCGCCGAGTGTCATTATTTGCAAAGTTGACTGTAGCTATGGACATGTATGTAGCCAGCCGTCTTTCACAATAATAGTGGTAGCGCGCCAGGCATGTTGCGTGCCGTGATGGTAACATTACCACACACAGATACGATATAATGCACTGTGAGCTCTAACTAACGACAGGCGATGCTTAAGTAGTATATCATGCATAGCTTCGGGAATAAATATATATGTTCGCGCATGTGTTTTTGGCGTGTGTGTGCGTGTGTGTGTGTGTGCTTGTGTGTGTGTGTGCACGAGTGTGTACGAGTGTGTGTGTGTGTGTGTGTGTGTGTGTGTATGTGTGTGTGTGTGTGTGTGTGTGTGTGTGTGTGTGTGTGTGTGTGTGTGTGTGTGTGTGTGATTGTGTGTGTGTGCTTGTGTGTGTGTGTGTGTGTGTGTGTGTGTGTGTGTGTGTGTGTTCGTGTGTACGTCTGTGTGTGTTTTTTCCGAGATAGCATGCCCTGCTGGTACACGTCTTGTCGGGGGTGAATGTACACGTAAGTAAACCAGTTTTAAAACATTAGTCAGAATGGACTCGGATGGAGAACCAAGGATACCTTTTTAGATAAGAAAAAGGACAAAGGAGTGCGCATCCAAGATGTACTAGAGTTGTTAGCCGGTTAGTTGTAGAACGTCAGTACCGTCGGTCAGTGTCGTGCAATGTTATCGCATGAGCTGGTTGCTTAGAAACTGGTGGTGCGAGTGAACATTATAGCGTAACTTGTAGTTCCTTTGTCCTTTTTCTTTTCTATACATATTTTAGTAGTCTAGTAGCAGTGGTGAGGGCAATTTTGCCAAAACGTTGTGATAATTGATTGAGGAATGAGTTTGAGTTGGCAGATTGAATGGGAAGAGAGCAAGTCTGCTCTGAAACCTTTTTTTCCTATTTAGTAGGCAACGCTTGAACAGAAGCTGCGACAAACCTGGCCAATGGACATTTTTGTTGCGTTTTATTGGATATGCTTTGCAGGAGATTGTTTTGGTTGGTTTTTGTTAAACAAGCTTTTCGGAGATGACCTCTTCAAAACCGTAAACAAGAGAACCAACTGTGCTAAACCATTCGCTAAAGATCGTAATGATAAAACGATTCTGGACATGTTAAATCTCATAAGCACATTTTACATTATCTCTCACGGGTTCGTGACTATCATAGGTACCAAGAGTACATGAAAACCAGAGTGTGCAGCTCGGATGGGTTGTTGTCACGGCGAAATTCCGTGATTACATCATTTCAGTGATGTAGTGCGTACAAGCAGGATTCAAGCAGGTATCTTTCTGCACAGCTGCAGCTCAGTTGTACGCACTACGCCATTTCCCGCCTCAGATCTGCAGCAAATATGATGTAATCACGGAATTCCGCCGTGACAGACACCCATAGCAGAGAAGGCCCCAAGCTGCACACTCTGGTTTTCATGAACTCTTGTAGGTACCTATCACCATTGAAAGATTGGCAACCGCACAGTTTGTTCTCTTGGTTGCAATTCAGTTTTTTTTGCTTTTTATTTATTTTTATTTATTTGTATGGTGTTGTGAATGTGGGCCCAGAGTGCAGCGTGAAGTGGTGCAGTGTTTCAAGTAAAAGTTTTACCGGGGCACAAAAGGCACTGGGTTTGTTCTTAGGAACCCATACTTTTGAGACAGCAAAAAAGAAGAGGCTAATTGTGCTGTAAGCATTCTCCTAGTTATCAACATTCATAGGTAAGTTATTTTGAAGTAGAATGTTAACGGATGATGGCAGGGCGCACAATGATAACTAACGATATTATAACGTCTCGTTTTGATGGTGCTGGTGAGATTCACTCATGCATGCAGTTAGCTCCTGAAGATTTCAAGCAGCTTATTTCTTGGGTACATCGAGTCACATAGAGGTCCATGGCAAGACAGTAGTTCAAATAATCTCGTTGTGCATCCTGCCATCATCATCATCATCATCATCATCAACATCTCACATTGCACTCGTGCATGTCTATAGATAGTTGGGCCGGCTGGAAAGACTCTAAAATATAGCAATCTGATCAATTAAAGACCACCTCTATCTCTTTTCATGTTTGCTCCTCCATCCCTTACGCCAATGAAACTTGTACCTACATGGCCATCATGGTGCATGTCATCAAGTGGGCGCCCTTTAGATATAAACAAACTCAAAATGTAGCAACATGCCTCCCACCTATGGCGCATATGCATCAGTATCCCGCCCGTGAAATTCTCCTTGGCAAGCCCACTGCAGCTGTAGACACAGTGATGCTAGCTCTGGATGAGGAGGTTGAGAATCAGGCTCATAAATATACATGTACTGGAATGGTTTGTGCCTGCCAAGGATGAGGCAATACGCCGCCAGCTTCGATACATCTCTCCCATTGTCGTTTTGGCAGCTGGCTGAGAATAGTTTTAAAAGACTACCTACTGTTCTAACAACATCTTTTCTTTGTTTAGGCCTCTTTTACGGGCAAATTAACACAATGGTTTAAAATGCAATAAATCATACACTGGAGAAGAAATCAGAAAAACGCATGTGTAAAATAAAGAATTTCAAACCCAAACCAAAAAAACTTCAAATCTATTTTTTTTTATAACATCTCAGTATTGTGTAAATTTGTGTACATACAGTGACTACTGAATGTGATTCAAGAAACGTGCTAACAGCAATAATGACCCATGGAGTTAACTATGACGAGGCGGCCGCGGCTTGTACGGCTCGCGGAATGACTTTGCCAGACAAAAGCCTCTCCAGCTGCTATAAGAATTTGTTCAGTAACGCCCTCAACAACAGCCGGGCCTGGGTACACAGCGACACGGGGGCCGCGGTACGTGCAACTGATGACGTCCACAGTGTGCGCAACACCAGGATGGGCGTGCTGCTTTGTGCCCGGGGTGAGTGCTCAAGCCACTGTTCACACTTCTGTCACACCAAAAAAAGTACATTAATCAGGGATGAATTCATTGTCATTTTTTGAATAGCGGTCTCTGCTATACAAAATCACAATTGTGTAGCAGTCTTTGATTTTGATCAGCATTTTTCTTTGAGGTTTTGTGGGTGTTTACCACATTGGTTGGGTGTTTACCACATTGTCCTTGTTGAGAGTGATGCCTGAAAGCCCATTTGCAAAAAAACGACTGAATCATACATGTACACGCAGATTGAGATTGACTGCACAACATTATACTGCACTGTATGCATGTTACTTGACAGCACAGGCTAGGCATGGTCTGTATGTATCGCAGTTTTCTGCGAGTCACGGTGACTTTTGAATAGCAGTTGATCGATTTTGCATCGCACACTGCGATGCGATACAGGATACATTCATCCCTTCATTTATTTCGTGTCCGTTCCCGAAGGGAATACATGATGGCCTCTAACACCTGGTAAACCTTAGCGGCAGCAGGCGCGTGCGCGGGTGCCCTTCCAGGGGGGGGGGGGGGGGTCCGGTTCCCGAAAACTTTAAAAACATGGAGCAAAATCCTGCATTTTGAGCGAAAAGTGGGAGGGGGTTCCGGGCACCCAGGAACCCATACGGGGCATGCGCCTGGGCGGAAGCAGCGCCTAACGGTGGGGTGAGTGGATAAGTCTCACAACCACTGGCGCAAGTGCCAAGAAACCGCATTAGCTGCTTCCCTGTACATGTACCTCTGTAACACTCCTTTCACACTCCTGTATCGTACTCGAGAGTGTGGAAGTACCGTAACATCGGCAGCAAACGCCCACCCCAGCGGGCCCATACTATATTCGTCTTCTTCTTGTTAGTAATGTTTTACAAAACCGTCATGAAGGTTGAATGCGTCTGCTCTCTTACCACCTTGTAAATATGTCTGACCTATTCACCTCTCACGGCTTCAGGAACTGCATCTGCGCCTTGATCCACGGAGGGTGGTGGCGTTCCTACGGACGCAGAAAACGCGGATTCCAACTGAGTCTACTGCGAATTATGAATTTTTTCATGCTCAGAGAACCCTTAGCGACCACACATCTTAAGGATTGTAACCGAAATGCGACCACACAGAACAAAACGCTGTATAGCGTCAGAAAAGGCCCACCCCATGTGAGCTTTGGGAGCTTTTGACTGCATCAACATCCAACACGTCATCAGAAGTGCCGTATCTTATCCTTTTCCACTACCCTCCCCTGACGGGGGTGGTTAACATAACGTGGTAGTGTGTATCGGGTTCAAGTTGTGTGTGTGTGTGTGTGTGCGTGTGTGTGTGTGTGTGTGTGTGTGTGTGGGTGTGTGTGCGTGTGTGTGTGTGTGTGTGTGTCAGTGTCCGTGTGTGAGTGTGTACGTGTGTATATGTGTATGTGTGTGTGTGTCCCATATGGTGCAGTGGTATGTGCAGCGATTTCCAATCGATAGGTTGCGGGTTCGATTCCCGACGATTATGGTCACACACGTCTTTCTTCTCTTTCTCAGACTCTTCCTGACTTTTCTTTCATTCTCCTGGGTGGTTACCAACAGCCAGTGCATGCCGGAGTATGTGGTGTGATGTGTGTGTGGGAAAAAAAAAGAAAAAAAAGAAAAAAGAAAAAAAGACCAAAAATAGGGATTCACTGGCCAGAAAAAGTCACTTCTAAATAGCTGTATGGTGTAGACCAGGCTGAATAGTGATGGTCAATTCTTCAGCCTTGCAAGCTGTTGAATGGTGCAATCCCAGCACAAGTTGCTATGGCTTCTGCCGTAGCATTGCTATCATCGCCTCCGGCGATGGGCGTCAAAGGTCAAGGTGTGTGTGCATGTGTATGTATGTTTGTGTGTGTGCGTGTGTGTGTGTGTTTGAGCACGCATGTGCGTGTCTGTTTATGTTGAATGTACATGTCCATGTGTGTGTGTGCGTGTGTGTGTGTGTGTTTTCCTCGAAATAGCATGCCCCAATGGTACACATCTCCTTGGAGGTCAATGCATATGTAAGTCACCCAAGACATAATACTAATTTTATTACAGTATAATGCTCCAAGTTCGAACCTGGATTATCCAGGGAGTAAATTCTGACCTGATCTTTTCTCACAGTCTCACGCAAACCGTGAAAGTATTTTATTTTATTTTAATTCGGATTGCCCGTAACATCCAATTTGTCAAAATCATATGTTGTATCCAATAATAATATTATAATAATAAACAAGCGTTTCGGAGACAGCAGTTTTGATATTGCTACTTGGACGACTAATTGCACTGCAAGAATTTGTATCCAAAAAGTATGTCAAATTGCAGCTCTAAGCACGCTGAACATCATGCCTGTAGACTTTGTTTGTTGTCCATAGCTATACAGGATATGTTCCAAATGTTTCACAAACATAAAAAAACATAGTAGCAGTGGTGAGGCTTCCTGCAGCTTCATTCATTTAGGAAAAGAGATTTCAGAGCAGACCTGCACTCTTCCCATTCACTCCGCAAACTTAAACTCGTTTCTTCATCAATTATTACAACGTTTCGGCAAAATTGCCCTCTTCAGGTATGCAATGATGTGCAAAGGAGCAGTTATGTACATGCAGTTTGTGAGGCTACGAGTGTTACATCTCACCGTGGCGTGCCAGAATCATAAAGATAATGATAACTAAAGGAAGTATGATACCAACAATTTTTTTTTTTTTAAATATACAGTTGAGCCAATGCATAAGGCTTCGATGAAACATCAAATTGTATGACGTTTCAAACCTCGTGTAGTATAGAGATAGTGATGTGCTGTGTCGAAAACATTGCTAAGCCAAATATATTCTTTTCCCGTTCGAAAATGACGCCACCACGAAGCGTCAGTTACAGAACAACAGCCCACCATGACAAGGAAGAAGAGCTGCTCACCAACAACAAATCAGCAGGGACTGAAACAGTAGTGCAAGATGGCCCAGGACAGTAGTGCAAGATGGCCCAGAACAGTAGTGCAAGATGGCACAGGACAGTAGTGCAAGATGGCCCAGGACAGTAGTGCAAGATGGCCCAGGACAGTAGTGCAAGATGGCCCAGGACAGTAGTGCAAGATGGCCCAAGACAGTAGTGCAAGATGGCCCAGGACAGTAGTGCAAGATGGCCCAGGACAGTAGTGCAAGATGGCCCAGGACAGTAGTGCAAGATGGCCCAGGACAGTAGTGCAAGATGGCCCAGGACAGTAGTGCAAGATGGCCCAGGACAGTAGTGCAAGATGGCCCAGGACAGTAGTGCAAGATGGCCCAGGACAGTAGTGCAAGATGGCCCAGGACGATCTTTTGGGCTGACCAGCTACATGTAGTGTACCTGAGTTTCACATGCATGCTACGCTCCAATCAAAAATTCAAAATTCTCTCAGGTTGCTGTATACTTCCGGTGCATGCGTGGTTACATCATGTTTTGTTTTAGGTACCGGAGAGCCGCAGCCGTGCCCGGAGGAGAACTCCTTTCCTTCGTTTCTTGATTTTACAACTGTAATGCATATCTGAAAGCCTCGAGTGCCCAACTGCTTTGTCGTCATGCTCTACCTGTACGACGAGCCATCGATGCACATGTGAAACTCCTGCACTAGCACTAGTTGCCCAGTACAAGAGAAAAATTTGGCCAATCTTGCACTACTGGTGCAGTCCTTGACTGGCCCTTGAAGATGGCTTTCGTAACGGCCGCCATTGGACAGACTGAATTGAATCGATTCCTTTCAGGAACTTGGCAAGTTGCCAATCAAAATTTGGATTGCTAGACATCACTAGGTAAATTGGATCGGTGTGCGAACATAGTTGGTTTGGCTGAGCTGCCACTTGACGTACTCGCGACTGTCAGCCAGAGCACAGAAGTGGTGCTTTCTTGCAGTTTTGCCGAGTGGGATATTCGATGGACTTCTCATGTGCTCTGGATGGCAGTCGTGAGTAACTCATCTCCCAAATCAGGAAAGGGGCGGACGCCAGGGTGGGAGCGACGGAATTCCTTGCAAAATGATCGCCGTGGTCCTTGCCTCTATTCCGTGCTGTTGTGACCAGCGCCAGCTTGCGTCTGGTTGTTTTCAGGAGCAGGTGTTGCAAGTGACCTAGGGTGCGCATCGTCTGCTCTGCCTTTCCATGGGCCACTATTACTGCAGCTGCTATCTGGTGTTTACGAGATGTTTAACACTAGCCCAAGTCAATGTCCGCCAAAGATGGCTGAAAACGGCATGGGGGTCACATGGTCACTTGCAGCTCCGCTCGCTCTATACCTATAGTTACTGGCTGATGCCGAAAGCAGGTGTTGAGTACATAGCTTGGGAGAGTGCACAACAAGCAATGTAAGCCTTTGTGGAGCAGATTTGAAATTTGTAGGAAATTCTAATAATTGACTGTACTAGCGGCCTCCACATTTGCTAATTGTTTTACCTGCAGACAAGGTTGACTGTGACCCAGTGGACAACCTAATTGGCATGTGGACCAATGGTGAGAACTTTGCGGAGGCCGAAGCAACTTGTCGAAAACTTAACATGACATTGCCTAGAAGTTGCACTTGGACGTGCTACAAACAGTTTGCAGACATCACTGGAACTAACTACCAAAGAGGCTGGGTGAACGATATCACTGGAGATCTGGCCCTGGACACACATAGTTTACGGAGCAATCGACATCACACAAGGTTTCCCTTCACGTTTTGCGTCCAACGTGAGTACACTGGTTGTTCACATGTTTGTCGAGAATATCTGCTACAAATGTGAAATCATTATTGAACAATGGAGGCTCTGCTTTTTTGTAAACATTAGCGCTCGATTTTTTTCTTTAAAAATACACTGTATACAGGAGAATGTGGTTCATTCTTGGCTTTGACTTTGTGGCCAATCAAATGTCCTCTTTCGAGAGAATGCGACCGTTCTCGCACATGGCCCTCTACCTACTGCATTGCGATTCGGGAAGCAGTATCCTCAGTGAAAGTTCAGCATCGTGCTCGAGTTCAAACAGTTTTACTTTGCCAACCACGACTCGCACCAGTCCAGCTATGCACATCGCACTGTGGACTGCCCTTACCTCCAATGTCAATAGTCAGACGAACGAAATTCAACGCTTTTGTCATTTTGCAACACCAGCTTGCCGCAGTCGTTATCATTTTCGGGAGATAATAACACATTACCGTGGTTGAATTGCTATGGTGAGTATGGGGCATCCCAGGGTGAAGCTCTCGGCAAAGGAGGCTTGTGAACTTACAATGTGACATGGAATGACATGACTTTGGTAGTGTTTTATTATAATATTTTTTAGGAATTTCATCGATTTCCAGCGGCAACTTGAACGATTACGAGCGTGCAGAAAAGACTGGTGTAGTTATGTGTGTGTGTGTGTGTGTGTGTGTGTGTGCGCGCATGTGCATTTGTGTGCACGTGTATGTTTGTATGCGTGTGTCTCTCTGTGTGTCTGTTTGTCGTTATTTGTGTGTGTGTGTGAGAGAGAGAGAGTGTTTGTGTCTGTATCTCTGTGTGTCTGTGTGTCTGTCTGTGTGTCTGTGTGTCTGTGTGCCTGTCTGTCTGTCTGTCTGTCTGTGTGTCTGTCTGTGTGTCTGTCTGTCTGTGTGGTCTGTGTGTGCGTGTGTGTTTGTTTGTGTATGATGCGTGTGTATGTATGTGCGTTTGGTTGCCCCCGGAATAGCATGCCCTACCGGTTCGCACCTTGAGGGAGGTAAATGCATCAGTAAGTGAACCATAGTATAATATTAATTATAGTATCTTTCTGCTTTGTACACGTCGCTCACTCTTTCTTTTCCTTTCCAAGATCTTCTCCGTTAGGCGCTCTTCGGCAACTGCTCTCAGCTTCATCTCTGGCGGGGGTGTTATGTAGTGACTTGCATTTTGTGTATGTAAATAATTATTCGAAGATGACCGCTGTATGCATTTTTGCATGGAAAGAAAGGAACTTTCTCTTTGGTCCCAACTTCGTTGTGGTCTGGTTGACAATCGTACTCGTCATGGTCGAAGTAAAGCACTCCTGCCGACGCCGTCTGCTCAGAGACATTCCCGGTCCAATAGCAGCACACCCAAAAACAGTCGAGGGTAATACGACGCCGTCTACAACCTCAATGACCTAGACAAGAAAAGCATAGCGATGCTTAATTTTTTCTAACCCTCCTTTTTCAGACATAACATGATATTCTGACCTGCACTACCGCTCTTCATGCATTCCACCTATACACTTCGCAGACATACACGTTCTTCCAAGTTCCTTCACGTTATGATCTTGCATTTGAAAGCCCTATTTGAATAAAGTGGCCAGCTATCTTTAATTGGACGGGACGGGACATATACGGGATAGCGCCAGGCATGCCGACGTCGTCAGGCACAAACAAATCAACAAGAAAACGGAAATAAAGCTGCGTGGACTCTGGCTAACGCCAAAACGTTACTCAAGTAACGCCTTTTGCATAGCCACGGGACTAAGGGAGATCTTATTGTTGGTCAGACTGGGACAGTACATGGGATTAATGGATCCTACCATTCGAACTCTGCGTATACCGTGTCCCTTATATTGTCCCTCGTCCTATAATACTTGTGAAAATATTGGGCGGTGTGCCCATCGTACTCGTGGTATAATCCACACATAGCCTGATTACCCGGACAGGCAGTGGGCATGCGACTGTCATTACCATCAGAGCAGAACACATATATCCAAAATGACAGAAAACATGGAAGATCACTCCAAAGGCCTCTGATCGGTCGAGTTGCTCCCTGTACATTGGCACGTCGTCCCTACATCCCCTGTGTCTTGTTTTGTGTTTGTCTCCACATGTCTCCTTGTAGGGCTGTGTTCCTAGTAAAAAAATTAAAAATGAAATGCGTGAAACTCGGCCCTGTCTCTAACCATGATAGTCAACTCTAGGAAAGCAGGTAATAACTAGGACTGAGTCGGGGTAGCATTTTTTCGGGTATCGGGTTCGGGTAGTTTTCCACGGGTAGCATGCGTACCCTATCGGGTAATGTTTCCATGGTAACGCCGCAATGCACCCCTTCCCTTGCACACTGGGCAGACTTTCGGAGTATTTCACGGATTTTTACATGTGCACTGTACATGATATCATCCGCGACTTCGGGTTTTCGGGTACTATTCTGTACCCGTCTACCCTTGGTCCTCACTGGTAGCATGGGTACTGTGAAACAATCATGTAATTTTCGGCGTAGCTTTAATTTCGGTGATTTCGGTAGAGAAACCAGACACCTAAATTTAAATTACACCTAAAAGGCACTAGAGTATGCTAAATTACACCTGAAACCTGGCAGGTCCCTGGCACCGCAATTTTAAACCACCTAAAATATATGTTTTGCAGTACCCAACTACCCGTGAACACCACTAATGATAACATACACACAACCTACAGTCAACTTCGCTTATAACGACACTCGGCGGGGCATCAGAAAAGTATCCTAATTCGCGAAGGGTCGTTATACCCGAAGTCTCATTATATGTATTACAGTCGGATGGGACTTTGATCTGGGCATGGCAATTCTGTCGTTATGTAGTAGCTGGCCCTCGGAGACAATTTCACACACTCAACAAAGCACTCACTTTGTGGTTTCACGAATACTCGTTAGGACAGAATTATTAGTTACACACTCGGCAAGTAAAGATAAGAAGTGAAAGGAGCACAAGAAAAGAACAATGCAAGAAGACAAAACACGCGGCGAACGGCAGCCATGTTTTTAGGTCATCAACCAATGAGCAATCTATATAAACCGGTCGCCGACGAAATTCTAGAATATTCCAGAGCTGTGAACTGTGATTGGTTAATTATGCTAATGGTCTAGAACAATAACACTAGCAGCAGTCATACGGGTAAATACGGGTTTAGCCATCCACGACTCATACATTACTCACGAGCGACTCACGGAAAGGGTAATAACATGCAGATACAAAATACGCAAGGAGAGAAAAAATGTAACTAACTGCCCATCTTGGGGTTTGAACCTAGGAATCTGTATCAACACAAGCTCTACAAATAAATACTCTTTTACTGCGAAAAATATACTTTCTATTAAAATGCAACTCCTACACTACTCCCCCCTACGAAAATAAATCGTCCCCGATTTCAAGTGAATACATCAACACAACACACACCAAATTCAAAGCAACACGGCATATACCAAATTAAATATGAAGAAAATAAGACACACATTCTCACGCACGTACGCACTCGCACGTACACACTCGCAATCATGCCGGCACACATGCGCACACGGGCATGCACAGTCACACATGGACTGTCTCACATGGGCTTGACCCACATACACTACACCACATTCACTCACCTACTCATTGACACACATACACTCTCACACACACACTCTCACACACACACACTCTCACACACACACTCTCACACACACACACACTCTCACACACACACTCTCACACACACACACACTCAGAAATCTGTACAAAATGAACTGCCTAATGTATTATCGCAATCCAAGTCCATAGCATCCTAAATTAAACCGGAGTCACCCAGAGCGGACAGTCAGTGTACCAGTTACATATCGTAGTCACGGTGCCAGGCAGGCGGACCAGCATTTCTGCGCAAATGGTCACGTGGGCCTGGTACATTAACGGGCTGAGGCTGTACTGGTGGCACAACAGGCGCAGGAGCAGCCTGAGCAAACTCAGCGTCATCACAGTCTGGCCAAATAAACGCAGTACTTAGCGGCGGCAAAGCAGCGGACGATGGTGCGCTCATGGATTGAGGTGGAGGCGGCAACATACTGGGAGCACGCTGACAGGGCTTCAGGCGATTGTAATGCACCCGCTTGTGTTTGCGTAGGTCGGCGGCCAACACGATCTCGACGACTGGACCAGCCAGCGATCGGACAACGTATGGGCCAGTCCACGGGTTGTGTAATTTTCGGCTTTCGCCCGGCTTCACAGCGGTATCCAACAGCCACACATACTGTCCCGGTTGTAGAGGCGAACCATGGACACGTCGGTCATAGTAGTCTTTCATCCGTCTATGGGCCACGGCGTCGGTCGCACGGGCACGGGCATAAGTATTCTGGAGGACTGACTGAACACGCTGCACATACTCATGTGTCGAGACATCCTGGTACTCCGGTGGCAACCCATAAATAATATCCGCCGGCAAACGGAGCTCACGCCCAAACATTAGGCGTGCAGGTGTTTCACCGGTTGACTTCTGGACCGCCGTCCGGTACGCCAGTAAACATAGAGGCACATGCAGGTCCCAGGATTCAGGGTGGCCACGGGCATACAGTCGGAGCGTGGTGATCAGTGTGCGGTTCATGCGCTCGACTAAACCATCACCAGCAGGGTGGTATGGTGTTGTCCGTGACTTCCGAACCTGCAACAGGGAGCAAAGCTGCGCAAACAAAGCAGACTCAAACTGAGCGCCCTGATCGGAATGAATCCGGTCAGGAGCACCAAACCGAGAAACCCAACCATTCACAAAGGCATGCGCAACAGTTCTAGCTGTGATGTCTGGTAGAGGATAGGCCTCAGGCCACCGAGTGAAATAGTCCACACAGACGAGTAGGTAACGGTTGCGGGACTGAGTAACAGGAAAGGGACCAACAAGATCCATGGCAACAAGGTCACCCGGATACCCACCCAACATCGGTACGAGCGGGGCGACAGGCTGGCCACTAGACTTGCCTGCAGCACACACCTGGCAACACTGTACAAACAAACGAACAGAGCTTGACATGCCAGGCCAGAAGAAATGACGCCGACACTTAGCTAGGGTCTTGTCATAGCCAAAGTGGCCACCAGCCGGTACACTGTGTACCATCACGAGACACTCGGTCTGCAGGGAGAAGGGTACAACAAATTGCAGAACACCATCAACAGACCGATACAGAACACCTTCTAAGATAACTAAAGAGGACAGTTCAGACGCATAGCGACGGACAGCACGGCTTGTACCCTGGAGGTCACCTGGAGGATGGAAAACACGCTGTACATCATCAAACCAGGACAACACAACAACAAGATCAGGGTCAGACATTTGACACAAACGTAACGCAGCAGGCGATTCCCGCGGCAGCCACGAGGAAGAAGAAGAAGAAGTGCTAGCTGGACCGTCAACCTGCGGAGGAAGAGGCAGCACATCGGGAGCCGGAGACACACAAGATACGGAAGGGGTGACGAAACGCGAAAGAGTGTCAGCGTTCTGGTGTAAACGACCAGGACGGTGCAGAATAACGTAGCGGAAGTCCGCCAAGGTCTCAAGCCAACGAGCCTTGCGTCCAGTCGGTTCTGGAATGCTATGAAGCCACTTCAACGCCTGATGGTCCGTGCGGACAAAGAACTGAGCACCCAACAAATAGTGGCGGAAGTGTGAGGCAAAGGTAACAACAGCAAGGAGTTCTCTCTCGGTGACACTATAATTCCGCTGGGCCTTGTTGAAACTCTTACTTGCGTACGCAATCACACGTTCTTGCCCTTCCTGTTGTTGGCTAAGGACCGCACCCATACCGCTAGCACTAGCATCCGTGTCCAAGACAAAACTCGCCGCCCCTGGACGGAAATCAGGAAACGCAAGGATTGGCGCAGAGCACATCGTCTCCCGCAGAACTCGAAAGGCAGTGTCACAATCGGCAGACCAGACATACGGCACACCCTTCTTCGTTAAGGCCGTGAGCGGAGCAACAATGTTGGCATAGCTAGAAACAAACTTCCTGTAATAGCCCGTGAATCCAAGGAACTCCCGGACCTCGGACACAGACTTGGGCGGAGACCACTTTTTCAAGGCAGCTATCTTAGATTCGGAGGTGTGAATTCCACGTGCACTCACATCTACGCCCAGAAACTTAGTTCTACGGGACAGAAAGACACATTTACTTAAGCGTAACTTCAAGTTGTTAGCGCGCAACCGAGAGAATACAGTGCTCAGGCGAGACAAAGAAGAGGACACAGAAGACGACGCGACAGCCATATCGTCAAAGAAGACCCGTGTGACGGGACCATCGGAAGCATGTGTCAAATCACCAAACAATCTATCCATGACCCGTTGGAAGGTGGCGGGACCATTACAACACCCCATCGGGAGTACATTGAATTCATACAAACCCAAAGGAGTCGTGAAGGCCGTCTTGGGTTTATCCGTTGGGTCCATGGCAAGTTGCCAGTAGCCGGTCGCTAGATCCAAAGTGCTGAACAGGGAACACCCGGCAAGAGAATCAAGAGTTTCGGCAATATTAGGGAGTGGATAAGCATCGGGAACGGTGACACTATTGAGTTTCCTGTAATCAATGCATAGACGAAACGAGTCATCCGGCTTCTTTACAAGAACAATAGGGGCAGCCCAGGGACTAGATGATTCCGAAATAATGCCCCGCTCCAGTAAGTCATCTAGCAAGCTCTGCAAGGCAGGGCGAGTGTGAAATGGGAGTCGCCGAACGGACTGCTTAATAGGGCGGGCATCCCCTGTCTCAATAATGTGTGGATAAATATCACAATACCCCGCGTCAGTCGGCTGCAAAGAGAACACATCATGGTACTCGTGAAGGAGGGAACGGAGCTGATCATACACATCGGCAGACAAATGCGAACAATGGGAAACAAGGTAATCGTCAATGGCCTTCAAACGGCTGGGGACATCGGCGGTGGTAGCCGAGCAAACAGTTTCAGCATCAAGTTCAACCTCGCTAAAGGACGCTACCGAGCCCACACTTGTACCGGGATAGAGGACAACAGCGGTGTCACTACTATTAATAAAGGACATGACGACATGATCAGATCTTACCAGAGAGGAGCCAACCTGGACTGCAGGGTGTTTCTGGCAGAAAGAGTCGAGCGGAGTCACTAGCAGACTATCCTGGGATACAGACTCAGACAACGAGCAAGAGGCAAACACAACATGGTTAGTAGGCAATTCCAGACGGTCGATAAGGCATACACGAGTAGTTCGGACACTAGTGTCAGACGCACACTGAGTAGAACTATCAGAAGCACACGGAGTAGGACTATCAGAAGCACACGGAGTAGGACTATCAGAAGCAGACACACATGGAGTAGAACTAGCAGACACACACGGAGTAGAACTGGCACTAGCAGAAGCACACGGAGTAGAACTAGCACTAGCAGAAGCACACGGAGTAGAACTAGTAGACACACACGGAGTAAGACTATCTGACGCAGACGCACACGGAGCATCATCAGAAATACACAAATCAGAACTAGCAGCACTCTGCTGATCAACAACACACGCAGGCTGATTGACAGATAGACCAACAGTGGTAGTACCAACATGCATCACACGGCGGGACAGATCAAGCGTGCACCCAGAAGCAGTGAGAACATCAGACCCAAGGATGAGGTCATGTGTAACACCATCGACAACAATAAATGCATGATTTGTACAAAACGACCCAATACGAAATTTCAACGAAACAACACCACAAGTACTTAGGGACTGACCCGTTACACCAGTGAGGAGAGGACGAACACTATCCTGCTGGAGTGTTGAGATGTCAACGTCGAAGCTGCGTAGCAAACGTAGGCTGATGAGGGAGACACCTGCACCAGTATCCACGAGTGCTGTGACAAAACGACCAAACAACTCGACAACAACACCAAGAGACGGAAACACAGAACATAAGGACACAGAAGGACACAGAATGCTCGGCTTACTAAAACTAGCTGGAGGGACTGACTCTTGCCGAGCAGGGCCAGCCTCAGCTAGTTTCCCTGCGATCGTCGTTGTGGGCCATTTCGTCTCCGTGCACCCTCTGGGTAGTTTGGGCAGGCGCGCACCAGATGCCCCGTCTGGCCACAGTTGAAACAACGGCGCACCTGCTGCGCACCCTGAGAACTGTCGCTCCAACCACGGCCGCCGCTCGCGTGTGCTGATGGAGGAAGACTACCTGGAGATGGAGAGCTCAAAGAAAGCGAAATGGAATCTAGCCTTTGCAAAATCTTGTCCAACACAAACATCTGATCATGAACATAATTACCACCTGAGGCTGACGTCATACCGGTAGTGGAAGCTGATGCCAGTGATGGAGCAGGCGGGAGTGCAGTGCTTGACCCGCGGACGGCGAATATGGCCGCAGGTGTCGGCGACGCACCCGCGATCGCGGCGCCGTTCGACCGACGCTGCTCTGCGTCGAATATGGCCGCCATTTCCAGAGCCCTTTGCACAGCTTGTGCCAAATTATTCGGGCTGGCACTTCGAACATGAAGACGAAGCTCTGGAGAAGGGAGGCCATCTATAAACTGATTCACCAGTAAACGTTGGAAGAGGTCCGTGTTTTCCTGGCCTGGGTAGGCCCTTGACGCTAATTTCTGCAACGCAGACGCAAACTCCACCGGACTCTCAATTGTTTTCATTGTTCTTGCCCGAAACTCGGCCTCGAACGACGGGCGATGCTGCGGAGGGTTGAAATATGCAGTCAGACGATCGCACAGCTCATCGTAGGCATCATTCGGGTGCTGAGCCCGGAATGTCTGGTAGACATGAAACGCCCCCTCGCGGAGACGACAGGGCAGGAAATCCAGGCGTTGATCATCCGCATATCCGTTTGCCTGACAGGCGACGTTGAATTGGCCCATAAATGTCAGCCAGTCTTCGCTGCTTGTTCCAGTAAACTCAGGTGGTAAGATGACTGGGCGTCCTAAAGCCGCCGGGCGGGCCGGAGCTGCTGCTGCTGCTGCTGCTGCTCCTGCTTGAGGCTGCGCCATCTGAACAGGTAAATGCACGGGTTGAACTGAACACTACGAATATACACACTATTATAGTTTACCGCTGCCACCAATGTAGTAGCTGGCCCTCGGAGACAATTTCACACACTCAACAAAGCACTCACTTTGTGGTTTCACGAATACTCGTTAGGACAGAATTATTAGTTACACACTCGGCAAGTAAAGATAAGAAGTGAAAGGAGCACAAGAAAAGAACAATGCAAGAAGACAAAACACGCGGCGAACGGCAGCCATGTTTTTAGGTCATCAACCAATGAGCAATCTATATAAACCGGTCGCCGACGAAATTCTAGAATATTCCAGAGCTGTGAACTGTGATTGGTTAATTATGCTAATGGTCTAGAACAATAACACTAGCAGCAGTCATACGGGTAAATACGGGTTTAGCCATCCACGACTCATACATTACTCACGAGCGACTCACGGAAAGGGTAATAACATGCAGATACAAAATACGCAAGGAGAGAAAAAATGTAACTAACTGCCCATCTTGGGGTTTGAACCTAGGAATCTGTATCAACACAAGCTCTACAAATAAATACTCTTTTACTGCGAAAAATATACTTTCTATTAAAATGCAACTCCTACAGTTATTCCCGAATTGTCGTTATATCCGCAGTCATTATTAGCAAAGTTGACTGTACTCACAGCAAGAACACATCCTGTTGATGATGTGGAGCAGACAATGGAACTTCAGGGGCATGACGGAGAGAGGAGAATGGCAGGCACGCACAATGAAACGGACGACAATATGACGGACAACGATGAAACTGACAGTTGTGGGGTCGATAACAGTGAACATGCACTCGTTATCTCATCCAGACTGTTCGAGTGTGTACGACGATTCGTACTTCTCTCTACTGAATGCTGTAGACAGCAAGCTGTTTCGGCCATAAAGGCCTCATCAGTACAGCTACGAGCTAAATAGGCAGAGCTACCAGCCATGGTGCAAAGGAGGCACCACAGACATTTTAAGGTAGCTCGTCGCTCTAGCGCCAGAGTGCTCAAACTACAAAATGTAGCGGGCATTGCACTTCTCTCTACTGTGTAGTTTGTGTTATGTAGAGCACTAGAAGGTCCTTCTTGCAGGTTTGCCAAGCTGGAGGTTCGATGGACTTCTTGTGTGCTCTGGGTGACAGTCGCGAGTCAGTAAAGTGTCAAGGCGGGTTGGCGGGAAACGCGCGAGATCTACTGTGGTATCCATCAGCTTCCTTGCAAATCTAACGATGGCGTAAAGAAAACCCAAGGGTTCTCACCGTCTGTTGTACGGGTCCATGAAGGGGACTGGCTTACGCTGCTACCTTGTGTGCACGAGGTTGTCGCTCATATGGTGTACCTGAGTAAAAACCACACACACACACAACATGGGGGTCCCTAGGTCAGTAAGATCTCTCTACCCTCTACAGCAAGAAGTAACTGGCTGACGCCAAAATCCGGTGTCCAGTACATTGCCTGTGAGAGTGCGAAACAAGCTACGTGAGCGTTGGGTAACAAATCGATGTTCGTTGAAACTTCCAATTGGTTTTCATAGCAACCCGATGTTTGTGAAATTCATTACCTGCAGGAAAAATTGAATGTGAGCACGCAAACATCAAGATAACTGCTATTTGCACTCATGGAGAGAACTTTTGTGAGGCCGAGACAACTTGTAGGAACCGTCACATGATGTTGCTTAGCAATCGTCCCGACATTTGGCATTGCATCGAACATTACACTGTGACATTTGGCGAGCGACCAGCCTGGATGAATACAACCGTGAGAAACGAGGCCTTAGCTACAGATGGTGTTCAATACGATCGAAATAGCACGAAACTGTACCTCACTGCGTGCGTCTCAGGTGAGTGGACATGCCGCTGTTCATACGTTTAATTTGTTGTTGTGTTTTTTGAGGGGGGGGGGGGTATTAAAGACCACTAATACCAAACATGAGCTGCAGCTAGGGAACCACGCACACAATTGACCGTGGCAGTGATGGTGAGGCTTAGGTAGCTACGCGAACCTGGGGTATCAACTTCATGGCCGCCTTGACGCATCAAGAGTGGGGGAGGGTGAAAGAGAAAGAGAGAGAGAAAGAGAGAGAGAGAGAGAGAGAGAGAGAGAGAGAGAGAGAGAGAGTGAGAGAGAAACTGAGAGAGAGGGAGAGGGAGAGGGAGAGGGAGAGGGAGAAGGGGAGGGAGAGGGAGAGGGAGAGAGAGCGAGAGGGAGAGAGGGAGGGAGGGAGGGAGGGAGGGAGGGAGGGAGGGGGGACAGAGAGTGAGAGACAGAGACAGAGACAGGGAGAGAGAGAGAGAGAGAGAGAGAGAGAGAGAGAGAGAGAGAGAGAGAGAGAGAGAGAGAGAGGGAGAGAGAGAGAGAGAGAGAGAGAAAGAGAGAGAGAGAAAAAGAGAGAGAGTTTTCGCAATCTAAAATACATATGGAGTTGAGATTGAACTGTGGAAGCTCTGCTGCATGGCATTCTGTAGCGACTCCATATTTTTCACAGACAACGAGAGGGATTGAAAGCCAAGGGGCATCGCTTTGGTTTTTACCTGGGTCGCCATGCGTTTTGTTCTAATTCTTAGAAACATCTTGCAAAGCGATTGTGGGTGCACGCTTTTGGATTGAAAAAACTTTTCAAACATTTCGAATTCCACCCATTATGACCTAAGGAAAAACAGAGCTAAGCAAAATCGCTGGGTTTTGCACACCCTCTCATTACTTTGTTTTGTATCAAAACCAAAATTCAACCGATAAACATAAATTTGTAGTATAGAAGAAAGGACCAAGGCTCTCCATCCAAGTCCATAACCATACATACTTCTAGATACTCATTCGGCGGATTGAACTTATTCGTCCTTTGTGGACTCATCAGCGCAGCGCAGAGAGGCTGAGGCCAAACCGGGAGAAATCCATTGTCCGATGCCAGATTTAAACCAGACCCGAACGTACCTTGCTTACCTGAGTGCTCAACCTTACTTTTACATACTTTACTCAAAGCTCCAAACTCCCTGGCAGGTCAAATCCACCAAGTACAGTCCATTCAGAAAAAGATGAGCGCTGGCCCTGGAGAGCTCCCGTGTTTGGTGATTTTGTCGGTGCCGCGAGATTCGAAACTTGAAAAAGGGTCCAAAAAAGGTGCCTCATCTGGGGTTTAAACCGCAAATGTACTGTTCTGCAAGTGGAGTGCACGGGTTGGATTTTCAGTGTGATCGGTGGGTGCTAACCCGCACACTAACTGCATTACTGCGACAGAATCCTGGTTCTAGTTTATTGAGGGTTAGCACCACATCCCTCACACACTCATACTCAGCCCAAGACAACAAGGAATTGTTTTGAAGATAGTGTGCTGCTTCGAGTAACTGGTCTTGTAATGCAAACACTTTATCAGGCCACTGGCAGCAACTGGCTCGCAAGGAGCCGCAATAAACCCACATTGTGCCACAATGGGGTTGCAAGGCAAAGCCAATGCAATTGGCAACAACTGGCTCGTGAAGAGCCGCAACTAGCGAAGCAAGTGACCAGTTAGGAGCGATAGAGCTAAAT